AGCTGTGTTCATGCAAGGTGACCATGCACTGGAAGGATACAGCCCAGGTAGGAGAGAAGTCAGGTTAAGACAGGCTGGTTTATTTGTTCAGTTATTTGGTAGCGAAATAAACACATCTAAACTGGTCATTTGTAAATAATTACATTGAAAGTTTGTTGTTTTTTTCCTTTTCTTTTTATTTTCTTTATATTTTATTGTTTATGCTATTACAGTTGTCCCAAATTTTCCCTTTTGTCCCCCTCCACTCAGCACCCCCAACTCCCTCAGGCAGTTCTCACACCACTGTCCATGTCTGTGGGTCCTGCATATATGTTCTTTGGCTGCTCTGATTTCCTGTTCTGTACTTTGCATCCCCATGACAATTCTGTGACTGCCAGTTCGTACTTCCTGATCTCATCACCTTTTTCACCCATCCCCCGATACTCCCTCCCATGTGGCAGTCATCAAAATGTTTTCTGTATCTGTGATTCTGTTCTGTTTCTGTTCTGCATGTTTATTTGGTTTTTTAGATCCAGTTATTGATAAATATGTACTTGCCTTTTTATTGTTCATGTCTTTTATCTTCTTAAAGAAAGCCCTTTTACATTTCATATAATACTGGTTTGGTGATGATGAGCTCCTTTAGTGTTTTCTTGTCTGGGAAGCTCTTTATCCTTCAATTCTAAATGATAGCTTTGCTGGATAGTCAGTCTTGGTTGTAGGTCCTTGTTTTTCACCACTTTGAATATTTCTTGCAAATCCCTTCTAACCTGCAAAGTTGTTGGTTTTTTGTTTGTTTGTTTGTTTGTTTGTTTTAGAAATTAGCTGACAGTCTTCTGGGGGCCCTCTTGTAGGTAACTGCTTTTAAGATTCTCTTTATCTTCAACCCTTTGGCATTTTAATTATGATGTATCTTGGAGTGGGCCTCTTTGCATCCATCTTGTTTGGGACTCTGTGCTTCCTGGACTTACCTGTATTGTTTGGACCCTAAGATGCACCTAGGTTTTAGAGGAGGAAAATAGAAAAAAATTTTTGAAGCAAAAAATGTGATAAAATATTTAATAACATAAATAACATAATATTTCACCAGTGTAAATGTAAATAGAACTCAACAGCAGCATTGACAACTATTATTCCTCCCTTGGAGGTAGGTGTATTTTATAGTCTGAAAAATATGGTATATGCCTATTTCCTTCACCAAGTTAGGGAAGTTTTCTTTCATTACTTTTTCAAATAGATTTCCAATTTCTTGCTTTTTCTCTTCTCTTTCTGGCACCTGTATGATGCTAATGTTGGTATGTTTAAAGTTGCCCCAAAGGCTGCTTACATTATCCTCATTTTGGGGGGGAAGGGGGGGTCTTTTGTTGTTGTTGTTGTTGTTGTTGTTGTTGTTCTGATTGGTTGTTTTTTGCCTTCTTATGTTCCATATCATTGATTTGATTTTTCATCCACTCTACTGTTGTTTCCCTAAATTGTTCTTTATTTTAATTAGTATATCCTTCATTTCTGATGGGGTCTTTTTTTATGCAGCTGAGGTCCTCACTAAGTCTCTTGAGCATTCTTATAACCAGTATTTTGAACTCTGCATCCAATAGATTGTTTATCTCCATTTTGTTTAGTTTTTTACCTGGGGTTTTGTTCTGCTCTTTCATTTGGGCCATATTTCTTTGTCTCCTCATTTTTCCTAACTCTCTGTGTTTGTTTTTATGTATCAGGTAGAGATACTATGTCTCCCAGGCTTGAAAGAGTAACCTAATGTAGTAGGTGTCCTGTAGGGTTCAGTGGCACAGCCTCCCTTAGTACCCAAGCTGGGTACTCAAGGTGCATCCACTGTGTATGCTGTGTATACACTCTTCTTGTGGTTAAGTCTTGATTGCTGTTGGCACATCCAAGGTCATTGAACTTGTGTTGTCTGGGGTCACACAGCATTAGCTACAAAGCAATCTGCAGATGGCTGCTACCTGTGCTGGGCTTGGAGGTACCCAGGAGAGGTTTCACTGTGACCCACTGTCAACTACTGCTAGTACCTGGCCTGGGGCAACTTAATGAGAGGTTCAGGGCTCACCAAAGCCAGAAACTGCTTGTTTGAGAGAATTTAGAAAAAGCTGAAGCATTGGCCAAGACAAGCCATTCATATGGAAAAAACAGCCACTGTAAACAGCATGGGTGGGCCTGAAAGTTGGGTGGGGCAAGGCCTCAAGGAATCACCAGATGGAGCAAACAGTGTGAGCCAGTTTGATGGAGTGTCATATCTGGTACCTGCCTGCTGGCTTTGTGGGGGGAGGGCTGAGCAAAGGAACAGTGGCCTCTGCCAGCACTTCTGTCTGAGAGAAAGCTGCCCCCGTTCTCATCCTGATGCTGGACAATTCAGTTCCTCTCCATATGTCTCATGCCTTTCTATCTGTTGCCTAGCACTGGATCTCAAATGGAATGAATATGAGTAATTCTGTGCATGGCTAATTTAAGAGAAACTGCTTGGGGTTCCAGCAGTTCCTGTCTTTCACAGCCTCAATCCCCACTGGTTTTTACAGCCAGAAGTTATGAAAACTTATCTTCCTGGCACTGGAATCTTGAGCTAGAGGGGCTGCTGTGAGGCTGGAATTCCTCAGTCCTGATATATCCCTCCTGATTTTTATCTGGCACACGTATGTGTGGGGCCAGCCTGTTCCATGTCTCCACCCCTCCTACCATTCTTGTTGTGGTTTCTCCTTGAATTCCATAGTTGTAGGACTTTCATTCAGTTCGGTTTCTGACAATTCTGAATGATGGTTGTTCATTTTCTGTGGTTTAGTTGTAATTTTGATGTGGTTGTACAAGGAAGTGAGTTGTGTTTATCTGTGCCTCCATCTTGACTGGAAATCAAGTTTTGTTGGTTTGTTTTTTTTGTTTTTTTTTCAATTCCAGAGATGTATTAAAATCTTGATTCTAGTCTAAAAGCCATCTTTTCACCAGCATAGTCAATTTTTAATCTCCCAGAGTAATAGTTAAACTTGATTTTCCATATCTATATTTCTTCAGATAAAAGATTGTACATAAGTTAATGTTCAAATGAATAACAACCTAAGAAAACGAGACCATCATAACCTGGTAGTGTTGGATCTAATAGTAAGTCATATTTGCCTTACTTTTTATTATGGTATGGTCTCATTTTTTATATTATGGTAGATTTTATATTATGGTAGATTTTGAACTATCAAACATTAACTACACAGTCAGGGTCATATTACATACTGTAGTTATGGGGTATGAAAGCCCATTTAGAAAGAAAATCACATAGTGGGAACCCTGTACAACCTAAGTGAGTGAACCTAAGGCACTGAAGAGAGGAGGCTTCCAGGAGCTGCTGCTTAAACTCTTGGCAACCTGATTATGTGGGACTTTGACTCATCCTCCCTTCTGGTGGCTGTCTCCGGTCCTTTTACTGCTTCTTAGCATGTACCTAAATGAATGGGGCAGATGGAGGGAGTGATGCAAAACAGTTATTGTGCTAGCCCCTAACTATTCTGGATATTCTTTTTTATTAGTGGAATATGATGTCATATTATTCATTTCAGTTTTAAATTACCTGTTGACTTTATTTAAAGGCATAATATCTCTTAGGCGTTCATCTAAAAAGAAAATAATGTTGTTTTTATTCCCATAAAAAGTAATATATTGAATCTAGTGATGAACTAAATGTGTTTTAGAGTTAGAGATCAGCATAATTCTGTTCAGATGGCAAGCTGAGGAGGTACAACCCAGATGAAAAAAAGAGAATGCCTGTCTAGACTGGCAAGTTAATTATTAGTATTTCATGAATATTTCAGAATTGGTATATTACTGTCGTCACAAAAATGTCAACTTTTTTTAATACGAGGCTAACCTATATATAGTTCTTTCTACCGAAGTGCTGCTGCTGATAGATTAGGGATGGGAAGCAAGGAAAAGGGTGTGCTCTTAAATCTCCAGGATGGTAAAATTGTATTTCGACATGCTTATTGGGCACTTTTATGACCCTGGGGTGGTGATTTTATTATTTATTTCTGTTACTGCTCACTAGAAAACAGTGCCTGAAGCCTTTTTGCATACGTCCTACTCTTAATTCACCATCACAGGCCACGCCCAGTTGCAACTTGTGGAAGGATTTCTCCTGAGTTAAAACTAACCTGTCCCCTGCTTTGGCTAACAGCTTTTGAAGTGTGCTAGTTTAAGTTTTCAGATCTGAGCAGCATGTCTTCAACTCTTTCGAATGGTCACTCGTCCATGTGAAAGAGTAATCATCGCGTGTGTGTTTTAGAGTCCCTTTCCTAACAGTAAATGTTTCCTGGATAGAACTGACAATATTTGGCCTCCAAAAGGCCTGAACTTAGTCATTGACTTGTTTACTTACTGACCTTTATTGTCCCTAATGTTCACATAATGTTGCCCAAGTTTATCACAGTTACTTATGTTTTGGGATTTTTAACTCTCAAGAGTATATACCACATTTGTCTTTGCCATTTTCATCAGTACCTTCTCTTTCCTACATGCACTTGTCTCCAGCTATTAATGTGTCCCTTTTAGAATAGAAACAAATTCTATCACCCTTGACATCATTGGGACAAAAAATTACTGTGATAAAAAATTGGATTTTCATATCTAGCCAGTAAAATACCTGTTCTCACCAACATTTTCAAATGACCATGATCTGAGAACATGGGTTGGAATTACAGTGATGTCTGAATACTAAAATGATTTTTATATAATTAAATTGTAATGCAGAGAACCTTGTTTTACATATAAATGTTTATAAACAAAAGTATATATGAAGAATATAAATTAATTTATGCTTTAAACCCACTAGAGGAGCTGTTTTTTCAAGATATGCTGTACTAAATTCTCTACCAAAAGAAAAATACCCCAGTTTACATCTTGTGCGAATCTTGTTTCATACATCTGTTTTGCTTAAAGCAAAGTATACTTGATTGGCCCATTGGTTCTAGAGAAGTAGTATTCCTCGTGGGCTCCTTTTAACATCCATCCACCTCTTGCTTTTATACTAGATCGAGCGGTTGGAAGTAAGCAGCCTCGCCCAGACTTCCAGTGCAGTGGCCTCCAGCACCGATGGCAGCATCCACACAGACTCTGTGGATGGAACACCAGACCCTCAGCGTACAAAGGCTGCTATTGCTCACCTGCAGCAGAAGATCTTGAAGCTCACAGAACAGATTAAGATTGCACAAACAGCCCGGGATGACAACGTTGCTGAGTACTTGAAGCTTGCCAACAGCGCAGATAAGCAGCAGGCCGCCCGCATCAAGCAGGTCTTTGAGAAAAAGAACCAGAAATCTGCCCAAACCATTCTCCAGTTGCAAAAGAAGCTTGAGCACTACCACAGGAAGCTCCGAGAAGTGGAACAGAATGGGATTCCCCGGCAGCCAAAGGATGTCTTCAGGGACATGCACCAGGGTTTGAAGGATGTGGGAGCAAAGGTGACTGGCTTCAGTGAAGGTGTGGTTGATAGTGTCAAAGGTGGACTTTCCAGCTTCTCCCAGGCAACCCATTCAGCAGCAGGAGCCGTGGTCTCAAAGCCCAGAGAGATTGCCTCACTAATTCGGAATAAATTTGGCAGTGCAGACAACATCCCTAACCTGAAGGACTCTTTAGAAGAAGGGCAAGTAGATGATGGGGGGAAGGCTTTAGGAGTGATTTCAAACTTTCAGTCAAGCCCAAAATATGGTAGTGAGGAAGATTGTTCTAGTGCCACTTCAGGCTCAGTGGGAGCCAACAGCACCACTGGAGGCATCGCTGTAGGAGCATCTAGCTCCAAAACAAATACCCTGGACATGCAGAGCTCAGGATTTGATGCACTACTACATGAGATCCAGGAGATCCGGGAAACCCAGGCCAGACTAGAGGAATCCTTTGAAACCCTCAAGGAACATTATCAGAGGGACTATTCATTAATAATGCAGGCCTTACAGGAAGAGCGATATAGGTAAGTTATATGGAATTTAAATCCTAAATTATGTTTGGGGTTCCCTTTCCTTTGGATATGGGTGGTGACTTTTAAAGATCTTCATAGAGTGCCTTTCCCTGGAATGTCCAGAGTACTTAGATGTCATCTGACGACTGCACGCATTCCTATCATTGAGTGCAAAAGACAGGCACAGCAAAATGAGGGACTCCCAAGATTACACACTGAGGAAGCTTTGTAGTCTAGGGGTGGTAGTTATTGTACCTCTCCAGTCTTCCATTCCAGTTTAAGACTTTCAGGTGAAGCCCAAGCCTGTACTACATTGAATTCAAAAGATCTGTTATAACCCTCTGAAGTCTGTATAAATCATAGATAAAACCTGGCCAAAATGTAATGAACCCTGCAGATATTTGGCCTTAAGCACATTTATCTAGGCAGTTGGTGTAGAAAGAGTAGACTAGAAGTAAATCTAGACAAGCATGTCTGTTACCTCTAGTATGAATTGGCAAGCATTTGAATGAGAGTGGACTAAAACATGTAAAATGGTTCTACAATAGTTAGAGAATTCCCAGAGAAATGCATTGAGTTACAATCTGTGCTAAAGGTAGAAGCTAATATCTTTTTTGTTTCATATTATACTCCATATAATACTAAATAGTATACTCCATGTAAATATTTCATATTCATATTAGACCACTTTTAGTTGATCTCCAAATGTATGTCTTTTCCCCTTGTTTTTATCACATGCAAATAGAAATAATATCCCCCATGGAGTCATTATTCAGATCCAAACTTTGTCAACCAGAGACAGACCACCTCACTGACATACAATTAAGGGCTAATTTTATGGGAGCCACAGGTTAGGTTAGGTCTTGAAAGATGTGAGTTCTGCTTTTGTCCCAGTTGCTAACCAGAGGTAATCCTCAGTAATTCTACTACCTCAAGAGCTGAACAATCTCTTAAGGTCCCTTTCACCTCTCTTATTTTTAATTGTTTTTTTTTTTTAAGTTTGCTTTTATGAGATAATCTCAGGGCCTGAAACCAAATCATTCACGTGTATCAGTTAGCTCTGAAAGGACTTACAGCAGCAAGCTCTTTCACATGTGAAAATACTAATCAGTAATTCAGTCCTACCTCTGACCGTCACTCTTCAGTCTTTCAGTTCTAACGAGAACTTAATGGGAAAAAAAAAAAAGAGAAGTATGGGTGAGAGAAGTGAAGTTCTAAAAGCAAATACATTACTTTTATTAATTCAGTATTTTGTATATACTTTAATATATGTAGAAGACAATATCTAAAGCAGTGAGCAATCTAACAAATATTCAAATGGACTCTGAAAAATGAAACACCTGGCCCTTTGTACCCTATTATACCTAACTCTTAGGTTCAAATTATAGTTCTGCCAGTTACTAATCTTGAAAACTGGGTGAGTTTCTTACATTCCTAAGTCCTGGTTTCCAGGAAAATAATAGTCCTTCATAAGGTAACTGTGACATTTAAATGAACTAATTTATGTAAAGCACTTAACTTGGTGCCCAGCCCAGTAAGTACTCTGTTGATGTTAAGTAGCAGCTGCTACTGCTGCTATTATAATACACCCTCTGAATCATGGAGACCTCGGTGTTCCATAGTCAGTTGCTTGAAAAACCAACTGCCTGCTTCAACCCTTTTATTGTAAATGGACAAATTCCAGTTTTTACATTCTTCTAGAGTTTAAAATTCAAGTAGAGTTGTTATGTCTTCAGGTCAGATGTAGGCCAACGTGAGAAAATTAGAGAGGAAAAACAGGTCTCCCAAGGCCTACCTTTGTGTCAGTTTCAAGTAATTCAGCCCTGGCTGGTGTGGCTCAGTGGATTGAGCACCAGCTTGCAAACAAAGGGTCACTGGTTCAGTTCCCAGTCAGGGCACATGCCTGGGTTACGGGCCAGGTCCCTAGTAGAGGGATGCACAAGAGGCCACCACACATTGATATTTTCCTCCCTCCTTTCCCTTTCTCCCTCCCTTCCCCTCTCTCTAAAAATAAATTTTATAAATAAGTAAAATAATTAAGAAAAAGAAGAGGACAGAACTCACTGTCACCTTATTAGAAGAACATAGTCCAAATCAACTATGAGCTAATAAGAAGTGCATTTCTTTCATTGACTTTGGGTTCTCTGTAATAGGCAAATGACTAGTTTTATGCAATAAAGAGAGAATAAAGAAAACTTTTGAATTTTCAAAAATAGCTAAAACCTGGGAGGCAGGAAAAACAGGATATAATGTGTAATTTGACTTTTGTTATATCACTTCAACTTTAGAATAGTCTTTACTTAAAACAGAATTTTGAAGAAAGCCTTTCTTTCCCTCAAAAAAAAAAAAAGCGGTGGAAAAGTCACAAGCTTTCTCAACTATACTGTGTCGCATCAGTATTATTAAGCACAGAACAATTAGAGATTTCTCCTTCATTACATATGCCTTTATACAGTAAATCTAATTTTATTGGTCTTTGAATTGAACTGTTTCACATAAGTGAAATTTTTCCCACAGATTGAATCTTACTCTTTTAAGCACCAGAACTTTTTACATTGTAGTGTAAGGTTACCTGCCTCTACAGTAAATGGTCCTAGACACTTTTTATAAAGTTCTTTTGTCTGCTTTTTGTGGTTTGTTTTTTCCCCTTTCACATCTCCACAGTTAGTAAGCTGCCCACAGAAGTCTCTCTTTACTATTGGGTTGGCCAAATAGTTCATTTAGTTTTTTCTATAGGATGGTTCTCTAACAGTGCTTGTTGTCTTTGACTTCATTCAAAGCAATTTTGTTAGATTGTATTGTGATAGCTGTCATATCAGCATACAGTTTTTTAAAAAGGCAAAAGATTTATATGATCTGAAGAGAAACCAGAGTATTCAGTGTACACTTTTTAAAAAACTTATCCAAACTGGTGAATTTTTGTGCAGCCATTTTAATACTGAAGATGGAAGAAAATACACGTTTTTGGCGTATTCTGCTTTGTTATTTCAAGAAAGGTAAAAACACAACTGAAGCACAATAAAAGATTTGTGCAGTGCTGTGAAAAGGCGCTGTGACTGATTGAATGTGTCAAAAGTGATTTGCAAAGTTTCCTGTACTATTGACATTCTGGCCAAATAATTCTTTGCTGTGGGGCTGTCTTATATATTGGGAGATGTTCAGCAGGACCCCTGGCTTCTACCTACTAGAAACCAATAACCGGAGATAGCTGACATACTCAAAATATCTAAATCAATAAAGTTATTGGTGAAAATGAAAAATATGTCTTTTATTTTACAGAAAAAATGTAATGGACTTTTTGGCCAGCTAGTAATTTCTATTTCTACTCTCCTATAGCTTGTGTTTTTGTCTAGGAAGGAAGGAGGCTATGGATGGACATAGGGACTCTTCTCTGATCAAGAACCAGTTAATACGTACGTGGCTGCTCTAGGCATATTTTCTGTGCTTTGGTCTATTTTACTAATTACCTCAGTTGACAGGAGGGAGGCCACTCACAGTGTTGCTGCTTATTTAAGGGATGAGGAGGAGGACACCACCATGTCAGCATTTACTAAACTCCTGTGATGTGCACAGTTCTTGGTGCTGTACATATGCAGGGTTCAGCAGAAGTAAGGCCTGCTCGAGTGCTGGTGGTAGGGTAATAATATAGGTGTAATAATTTATAGTTTTAATTTGAACAGTTCACCTAAGTGTCATATGGTGGGCTTGAGTGTGATATTGTTATGTTACAGAATTACTTGCTTATGATTTTGTAATAAAAAATGGGAGGCATTATTTATGCCAGACCCCGTATTTGCTAATCCTCACAATAGCCCTGCAGTTGGATTGTATTATCCCCATTTTACAGATAAGGAAATTTAAACCCAGTGGAGTTTTAAAATTTGCCAAAGTTTGTTCGCTTGATAAGTAATGAAACCAGGAACCAAACCCAGTTTTATCTGACTCCAAAACCAGTGTTCTTTTCATACCAGGCCAGGTTTGTTTTATTTCCAAGCTCACCCCTAAAATCTCTGTGACTGAAAGACTAGTTAATACTCTAGCTGTAAGAAACCTTGACTGCACTGGCAGTGGGTTTTGGGGGCCTTTTACATGTCAAAGTATGTGTTTCACTAAAAGTCAAGTCACTATTTTTAACATATTTTAGAAAATTCTACATATGCACAAGCTCTGGAAAGTTTCCTCAAGCTAGAACAATAGTGTAGTTATATAACAGGGGAGAGCTACTTAAGGAAACTTCCATTCCCGTTCTTATTCTCCTCTTTCCAGAGTCACTTCTCAGTAATGTCACTCACTCACTGAGTAGTGCCAGGTTAGGATTTTTGCTCGACTGTCTGCTTGCTCTGGAATAATCAGAAGCATTAAGGAGCCTACAGAGGATGGTCTTTCTTTCTTTCTTCCCTCCCTCCCTCCCTCCCTCCCTCCCTCCCTCCCTCCCTCCCTCTCTCTCTCTCTCTCTCTCTCTCTCTCTCTCCCCCCTCCCTCTCCCTCTCTCTACTCACATAATTGTGCCAGACTGGATAGTACTTCAGCCACCCACATGCACTTAGCCCTGGAAGCCATTGTAGCAGAGCTTGGATCTAAACTCCACTCCAACTTTCAACTAATAACTATGAGTTTAGACTTTGAGCTTTGCATTGGACACTCAAATATGAGTGAGATGATGTATTTTGGGAAGGTAGGAAGCAGGATTTAGACATCTTTTAGTGATGGGATCTGGACTGACTTCAGATTCTTTTTGTATTGCTTCAGTCTCTTCATCTGTTAAAGTATTATTGCAGATATGTTGGTGGCAATGGCATCCACTTAGTACTTCAGAGATGGAAGGAGCCCTCAGGTGTCTAGTTTAATCTTGTTCTACAAACAAGTACACTGAGGCCTAGAAAGTTAAAGTGACTTTTGCCAGATCACACAGTAAAATGGTTTAACTTACATTTAATTTGCTGTTTAAAAATTGAAGGACTAGTCCTAGTTCCCTAGTGAATATAATATATTAATGACTAACTGCAGGAAGA